ATTCCGCGCGTCGCTTTCGTCGCTCTGTCTCTCTCGCACTCACGGGGCGTTCCGTGTAGGTGCGAGAGAGACAGACTCTCGGAATCAGTCGACTACCGAGCTGCACCCACCGTCGGGGAGGGGGGGGGGATTTCCATCCGCACAGTCTCACCGTACTTCCTATGTCTCTTCACTTTATATTTTTTAATATTTTTTTTGCACTTTGGTTTGCAAGGCAAGTGACCTACTCCTACTAATTAGCCTCGCCCGAATGGCTGCCCGGCCGACTTTTGTTTCCACTCGCGATTCTCGCGCGCTTCCGCCTCGCCACACTGCTGGCACACTGGCAGACGAGACGCTCAGCGCGGGGACGGGAATGATTTGCCGCCTCTCTCTCTCTCTCTCTCTCTCTCTCTCTCTCTCTCTCTCTCTCTCTCTCTCTCTCTCTCTCTCTCTCTCTCTCTCTCAGTGTGTGTGGCCCGCACACCACAGCGCGGCGATGAGGCGAGGGCTTATTGTGCGGCGCAGAGAGAAAAAGAATGAAAAAGGCTGAAGTGGGGGGGGGGGAGCGGGAGTGAGGAAGTGGCAGCGGTGCAGAGTGAGTGTGGTGAATTGGGAGCGATGAAATGGGATTGCGATCAAGTGAAGTAGGGGAAGGAAGTGAAGCGGGGTGGCAGAGAGAGGGGGGAGGACGTCACCTGGTGAAGTGGGGCGGTGAAGTGGGCGCCAGATTAGGGGGCGGCCTGATGAAGTCGGCAGGTTGGCTGAAGAGCTCGGCAACAAGTGGGGATAAGACAGTCGTCTTAGCCCCGAGCAAAAACGAGGGGGGTCTCATTAGAAGCGGAGTATGTAACAACGCCCCGACAGCGCCAACGTTTATTTGCCTGCGCCAGGTGGGCTAGAGAGAGAGAGGGAGAGAGACAGGGATAACGAAGTAACGGAGAAAGGGAAAGGTGGGAGAGAGAAGGAGAGGGGGAGGCTGTCATGCTGATTGGTTGGCGCCGTCGAAACGGGACTTTGGGGGTGTTAACCGCTCACTGCCTAGCCTAGCGGCCTAGCGCCGCGTAGTCCCCGGGGGGTCTTCTCGACTTCTAGGCTCCTCGTCTTGCCGTCTTCTAGTCCTCCGCTCGCCGGGCGTTCTGCCCGTCCCGCCCGTCCCGCCGACCGCAGCCGGGAACTAGACCGCGAACGGGGAGGGGCTCGCCTCGAACAAAGCCGTAAAGTGGTCCTGAAAAGTATCCCGGCGCTTAGATTTGGAAGCCCTGCTGCGACGCCGCGACCCGCGGCGGGCGAGGCGCAGCGGGGCCAACAAGTGCCCACATCTCAGCCCAGGTTATCTCGCGGCTTTTTTGTTTGCCCGGCTTTAATCAGAAAAAGAGGGACGTTATTTACACGGTAGTGGCGGGTACTTCGAGGGGAAGAGAGTAAGAGAGTCCCGGGGACGGGGTCAGATCCATAAAGACGGGGAAACCACTGGCTGGGAGGCGCCGCCCCGCCCCGCCCCGCCCCGCCCCGCCCCATCGGTGGGGCTGGGGAGGGAAACAGACGACATCCATGCGACCCGCATGAAACAGACACCTTCCATGCAGACGATCCGAACCGAAGGCCCTGCTAGAAGATACCTCTGGGATCCCCCCCCCCTTTCCGAAGGGTTCCTGCGGCCCACGCGCGCCCAGGGAATGCACTTCGGGTGCAGTACCGCGGGGCCGGGTACCCACACTACCTCAGCGTCTTCCCCAGCCTTGCCAAGATAACGCGCGGTGCAGGTGAAGCACCGCTCTCGCCGGGGGCCCGCGGCCCGCGGGCTTGTGTTTATACTTCCCCTCTTTCTTTTTTTCCGCGCGCCCTATTCTCTCCAGCAGCGGAATGAACGATGGGGATACTATCGTTAGGAGCAGCTTGCGGATATGCAAATGAGGCGGGGCGGGGCGGGGCGGGGCGTTCGAGAAGGCGCACGGGGGCGGGGCGGGGCGGGGCGGGCGGGGCATGCTCCGGATAATCCCCTCTGCATGCCACGGCAACGACACGTGGCTTTAGGAGACTGCGCGCCGCGCGCTGCGCCCACACCACAATGGTCCCGGAATTTGAATTTCGCGCCCCGCCGCGTTTTGTTTCCGAAATCCGCATAATGCACGAACAGTACGCCCACGTCTGACTGTCTTATTGGACGTCTTGAACGCCACGCGCTCGGCGGATGGCGCCAGGGTGATGGGGTGGGGGTGGGAGGGGGTGGGGCAAATTGAATGCAAGTAGGCCCCGCAGACCGCGATTGCCGAGTCTAGAAAAATGTTGGCGCTGTGAAAGTGGAAGGTGGATACTGTACTCCCTACGGGAGTGGCAGGGCGCTGGACTGCGCGCCAGGGGGTTCTGTGCGAGGCAGCCAAGGGCACCCAGCAGTCTGATTCTGAGAGTCTTTTTCGTCGCTCTGTCTCTCTCGCACTCATGGGGCGTATCGTGCAGGTGCGAGAGAGACAGAGCGACGAAAACGGCTCTCGGAATCGGCCTGCAGGGGAACCACCACGTGGCCAGCAGAGAGCTCGGGACCGCAGTCCTTGTTCGCCGTTCGGGAAAAGTTTCTCGAGGGATGGAGGTGCAGCCAGCGGCAGCCAGCCGCAGCCAGCCGCAGCTAGGCAGAAAGGGGTCCTCGCGGCGGCCGCCTCGCCGCTTGGCCGCGTCGCGGGGCGTGCGGGTGTGGAGGCAGTTCTTGGCGCTAGTTAGCGCGGAGTGGCTAGCATTGCGACTCCAAGTTTGCGGCCCCCAAGTTCCCATCCCGGATCGGAAACACCTGAGAAGAGCGGTCGAAACTGCCGCCACACTCTCACATTCACCCCCTAGATTTTTTTAAAAATATGGCTAGGTCTCTTTTGGTTGACTATGATTCTTTTCTGTAAGGAGAAAAATCTGTACGAACACCCACCCGGCCAGCAAGGTAGCTCCTCCTGCACTCCGGAGGCGGAGGCCCTGGCGGTACCCGGTACCTCCTTGGCGTGCTGGGCGATGCGCGTCGCGCGGCACTCGCGTTCACTGCGGTCTCGACGACGGCGACGTCGCGGGGAGCTCGCGGTCGGCACTCGCGGCCACGGCGGCCATGGCTTCGGCACGGGTACGGGTATCGCGATACTTGTTGCCGACGTGCTCGAGGTCGTCGTCGTCCTCGTGGACCGGGCCGCGGTGTCCGTCCGTCCGTCCGTCCGCACCCCCAGACTGCCCCGCGCAGACTGGCGCTGGTGGCCCGGGGCTCCGGCGACGACGGGGTTCTCCACGCGCGGGGGGTGGTGGCGGCGCGGCGCGGTGCGGCGCGGGCGGCGGTGCCCGGGAGCAGCGCAAAGCGCGCAAAGCTCACGTCGCCTCGCACGTGCACGATGAGGGGACTCATTCTGCCCCCTGCCCTTCCCCCTCCCCACCCCGCGTCGTCTGCTGAGTGATTCCGTGAAGCCGTTTGTCTCTCTCGCACCCCCGACGAGTGCCCGCCAAGAGTGCAACAGAGACAGAGCGACGAGACGACTTTTCTGAGTCGCTCGGGCTGCCGCGCTGGCATTCCACGGGTCACGGCATAGCACCCCACGCAACAGACTTGCACTGCAGCGGCGACACTTTGCAGGTGCCTTTACTATCTTTCGAATGAGCCCGCGTACTACCCCGTATAAGAAAACCAAACGAGTATGAACCGAGAGATTTGAAAGGGAAAAGAAAAGTGCAGTTGTGAAACGCGACGGATCATCTGCTTTCATTAACGTTCGTTGAATGAGATTTTTTCTTTCTTTCTGGGGTAATGGGTACTCGAAAAAAGACAAAAGCGGATGTCATTTTAATTTGTACTTTAATAATTCTGTTGGGTGGTTTTCACAGTGATCATCGTCACTGGAAAATTAAGTAGGCATTTTCATATTACTGCAACGTAAAATCACAACCTAATACATAATGAATTCATTGTTAGGTAACATTCTTTTTCAAACTTGATGACAAAACAAAACAAAAATTCTAATTACACAGTCCACAAAAATATGTACAAATCAATGTACACAAAGATTATGTACAAAAATACTACTAAAAGACTCTGCAGTCGTCTCTTAGAGCTAAAACTCTACCAGTCAGAAGTCCAAAAAATTTCTTGAACCCTCATACAAATATTTTAGCGCTTGTGATTGCTTCGAGATGATGAACAAGAAGATGTGGGACAGTTTTGTAAATTTTTAGGTACTGAGTAGAAGTGGTCATTCACATGGCTTCTATCATGGGATGCTACTGTATCACAATTTTGACCCACTTAATTTTTTGCCGAGTCAGAATCAGTTTTTAAAATATATATTTCACTAATTTGGGTTTCTACCTGGCATAGTCATAGAGATGATCAAAGTTATAATCTTCAATATAAACTTGTTCACAAAAGTCATACAAATTAAGTTTTTTTGACTCACAAAAATCTCTTATTTTGGTCCAAATTAAACTGCTCATAAGAAGCGTTAATTTTTAAGCACTCGAAATAAAATGTTTCATACTTGCAAAACCAAAAAGAATAAAAAATGTGTCTTCCAAACATGGAAGAGACACCATCAACGCATCATTTACATTTTTCAGTGAGCAAGCACTTATCAGCACATGGAATTCGGTGGTAAGATTAAGAGCAAAAAAATCATCATACAGTTGAATGAAAACTATTTCTAACAGTAGAAAACTTTTGAAAACAAATTGACTGATATCAAACATCAATATCACAAAATAGGAAGCAATAGTGGCAACATACCTTTGGCTTTAATTACCTAGAATGAAATTCTGAAATTTGATGGATAGGTCTCAAGGCATGCACCTCAGTACAGTTCAAAGTAAGTAGTATGGCATAGTACAAGTAACTGAGAAAACAGAAATAAAATCAAAACAAATTTGAATCTAACAAAAATCAAACTAACTTTGGCACAAAAAAAGTTGTGAATAAAGTGGACTTGGTTTGGACGGAGAAAATGGCATGAACTTTACAAAAAGCCTCGTAAGTCAAATAAAAAAACTAATTAAAACGATATCTCCTTTAAAAAAATGTTTACAAAGGCAACAACAAAACAAAGGAACAGATAAATGCCTTGACAGTATTTCATAGATGTGCCACAACAGTGTTGATAAAACAGCATTTACCAAAGCAAGTACATTGATTAAGATGAGCTTGAAACTTGAACAGGACTAGTCTAGTGAGTGGAAATGAGTGAAACATGATCAAAAAGGGTACAAATGCACCTTGAAAGGAAAGTACTGATTATCATTCTTGCTTCTCTCCTCTTGTGTGAGACAATCAAGAATATAATCCCTTAAGATAATCATTATAAAAATTATATCAGCCTTCTTACATTGATAGAGAATCTTCATCAGCTGATAAAACATGTGACGATTCTATAATTATTATAAGATAAATAAAGCTCCAAATTGTAACAACATTTGACATGCCATTTTAACAGAATATTACTGGCAGGTCAAGCTGGCTATGCCACATGCAACACAATGGCATAAGAAACAAAATATAATTTAACTTATTCTAATCTAAAAAGAAAATAATATCACAACTCAGCATGTATCAAGAGAATCTTAAGACATGCTTGTCTTAATCCTGATAAAAATTCACATTTTTACAAATATACAAGAAAATTTCTTGAGCATTTATAAAAAGTATTTACAAAGTTCAATGTTTTAAATAAAATGAGACTAACATTTTCCTAGGTCCTGATGTCATACTGGTGTCTCACTCATATCCTCGGTATCTTTCCTGCAATAGAAGACGTTTTCATTAACAACCAAAAATTGAGTGTCAGGAGAGAAACTGTCATCTACTGTACAAACCACATTTTAAAAAAGGAAGTACTTCATTTCAAATCACTACAAGCACACATTCAGCTTAGAAAAAAAATTATTGGAAGCGCACACCCAATATATCATGTCCGCACCTGAGTAAGCCATCTGGTCTCATCCCTGAATCCATATCAAAGCAGCAATGAGAAAAGAAAGAACCCGTAAGATAGAGTACCAGTAAACCATTTCCATGTGTGATAATTTTTCTGTGTACAGTACTCACTCAGACTCTGAAATATTTGACGATGTCAATGTTCCTGGGTGGTGAAGAGGACTAGGTGATCCACCGCCTGTGCTACCTCCTGGCATACCTCCTCCATTACTGAGGCCAACATTTGGCATTTCATAATTATTACTCAGGCCCATGCCCAAATTAAGACTCATAGATCTACCACAATGATCTTCTTCAGCTGTAAAAATAATAAAAATAAAAATCTTAAAGCTTGGGCCAGAACAAATTTAATCGCAACAGAAAGAGTTAAATTATAAAGTACCTGTCGTACCTGTGTATGGGAACAAATACTTTTCTCCCATGTGAATTTTTTCCTCTGTCTCTGACCCAACATCTCCTAATTCATGAAAGTTGTCTGAAGAAGACATCATTTTGTTCAAATGTGGCATTGGTAAAGGGCTTGGTGACGCTGAAGTCTTTCCCTGGTAATCTTTGTAGTAGTGATCAAGATCTGTTAATCCAGACCACTGATTGTTGCGTAGACTCATGCTATCGAGCATACTGTTGGCCGTCACATATGTGTCTGGAAGTTGGCTGGACCATCGTGGGGCATACATGGGCTTCAAGTTAGGGAACAGTGAAGCTTTGCTCACTATATTTAGGGTAGGAGGTGGTTGGACCATATCTGTGGGAGATACATCTCCTTCTGCAATTGGGTAGATATTTGGCATGTAAGTTGATGCTTGTATCGACTGAGGATTGGTAATTGCAGTCTCAGCAGAAGTTGTTGAGTGGTTTGACACACCCAAGCTTCTATGCCTTCTATTGCGACGTGAACTGGTGTGATGCGAACTTTCATCTTCATCACTGCTGTGGCTTGAAGCAAGTTCCAGACTTCTTCCATCAGCAGATGCTTCCGAATCTGAATCTGATGTATGTCCTGTGGTGGTGCGCTTGTCTGTGTTGCTTGGTCCATCTTCAGTGTCTTCATCATGACGCCTTAGCTGGCCACCTGTGATTGAAGAGTCATAGCCTCGTAGATATGAGGGCAGCTCAGACCCTGAATTATAGTTGCTTGTGGAGGTAGAAGTGTTGGTATTTCTAAGGTGTCCATCACTGCGATAAGGACTGCTACCTGTCTTTGCAGTTGAACGTGAAGTTGTGCTCGAAGTAGATATACCAATGTTTCGTCTTAAAGACTCCATTCGAGCGCTATTTCTATAAGCTAAGGATGATCGCTGGAGAAAGAAAATTTCAGAAATTAATAAAAGATCTAATTTTAAAATATTTATAGGGAAACAGAGGAGAAAAACTTACTGGCTGGGTCATGTGGTTGACTGGCTGGCACGTTTCCTCAACTAGGGGAACCTTTTTGCCCATACATCTCAAAACAGTTATTCTGAGATTCTTACGTACTCGCTCATTGATGAAGCAATAGCCAACCAAGCAGAAGAGAGCGTGGAAGAATACTGCTGTTGCTAGGCCATATGACACAATGGGTAACCTTTCACTAACAGCCAAAACAGCTAAAACCCATGTAGCTCCCAATAGAGGAAGTCCTACCACGGAAAGCCACAGTAACGTTCTGAAATAAAAAGAAAATTTAATTAAAATCTGTGTTTTTTCAAGGCAAATTTTTTAAAGAAAACAGTTTAAGTTGAGTGCATACCTTAAATTTCCAAATGCCATTATGTGGTCCTTTAGGGTGAACGCTGCTCTGATTGCCATGAGAAGAACTATCAGATTTATAACGACAGCACAGCAAACTGGACCGATGAGGCTCCACACCACAGATTCATACAATGACAGCCAACAGCTGAAAAAACAAGGAAAATAAAATTCATATTCACCGAGTCAAAGAAGAAAATTAGTCCAATATTACTTTGAGGCTGTACTCACAAGTAGAAGTTTCCATATTGATCAGCACGGACACCAACAGCGAGACCGACCAAAATTGCTGGGAATCCATAGCCAAGAGTGTAGTAGAATCTCATGGGTCCATGATTTATATCTCTCATTTCAGTAAGCATGCGGTACAAATGGACTGAATCAACCAAAGCCCAGGCAAATGCCGACAGCCACAAGTAATGGAGTGACATGGCCGTCATCTTGCAGGCAAACTGTAACAAAACCGTTAAAAATATGGTGAATAAATTTGAATGTCAAACAAGGAGCTTTAATGGACTTGATGTAAGAACCCCTACCTCATGCATAACGAGCGAGCGTCGGGCCTTCAAAGCGAGGAAATAGACGACTTCAGCCAGGAAAACACAGAAGACCAGGTTTTTATGGATGGAATTCGAGTTGGTTTCAAGACCACGTATGAATGCCAAAATCAGTAGAGCGGTCAGCAGGAGGGGCAAAGCCAAGGTGAATCCCAGCCAAGTGGCGGCGTCTTCGACGTCAGACGGTTCAGGAATGTACTGCAAAGAAAAAGAGACCAGATGTGATTAGGTTTCAATCGTGGAAAGGGTTAGAGGTTTTTTTCGCATTTTCATTAGCGATTCGCTACTCACGTCCATGTCGACGACGTCCACCAGCACGGCGAAGGTGGACAGGTGCGAGCAGGTGCAGTTGATGAGCACGGGCAGGCGCGCGCCGCCGCGCCAGGTGGTGGCTTGCTGCACCTCGGTCTGGCAGCCGGCGCGCGACCACTGGCCTTCCCTCCAGTACACGCACTGCGGGTTGGCGCGCGCGCCCAGCGCCTGCAGCTGCGGGTCGAGCCACAGCCGGACGCGCACCGGGGCGTGGAGGTGGCCGCCGAGCGGCTTGTAGGCCGCCTTGTCCTTCTCGGCCTCCTTGTCCTTGTCGCCGCCGGGGACGTAGGCCGCCAGCGACACGACGGGGGAGCCGACGCGCAGGTCCACGCCCCAGCGCCGCGACACGGTGTCGTCGTAGTGGCCCGGCAGCAGCGGGCCCAGCGTGCGGTACTGCACGTAGCTCAGCACGGCCTGGCCCACCGCGGCGGGGCTCTGCCGCGTCGACGTCTCCCCCAGCCCCGCCGCGCGGATGCCCAGCAGCGACAGCGGCACCATGATCTGCGTGTAGGGGTCGAACTTGCGCGGGTCCTGCCGACAGCGAGGGGAAAGGTTAGCTCCAGTTCACACCCGCCGGCACAGGCTGCCTGGGGCTTCCCCGGACTTACCTGCAGGTAGTTGTTGTACTTGGGGAACACGACGACGGGGGTGCCGCCGCCGGCGCCGGGGCCGCCGGGGACTCCAGTGAGGGGCAGCAGCGCGGGCTGCAGGAAGTCGGACGTGTCCGGGATGATGACCTGGCCCGCCTTGGGCTTGTCGGTGTCGGGCCGCGGCGTGGGCGGCGCGTCCCTGCTCACCGAGTGCGACTCGTAGCCGAACAGCGACTCGGCCGTCACCACGTCCAGCCCGAGCACCACGTTGTCCGCCACGATCTCGAACGGGTTGGTGTACGTGTCGCGCTGGCTGCGCGTCAGCATGCCGATGTACTGGTCCACGGCCACCATGACGTGCTCCGCGGTCTCGCCCGTCAGCTCCGAGATGCGGTCCCAGTGCGCGGCGTTGTCCGGCTCCAGGGCCTTGCTCACGGCCTGCACGAGGTGCGCGATGTAGTCCTTGTCCTGGCTGTGCGTCAGGTTGAGCCCCGTCATGCCCAGCTCGTGCGTGAGCAGGCGCCGCGACAGCTGCTCCGCGATGAGCACGTCCGAGCCGTGCAGCTGCTGGGTGCGGTTGACGGCGCGGCCCAGGTCCGAGGCCACCTTGACCGCCACGAAGCTGTTGATGCTGAGGTCGCCGCGCTCCATCTGGCCCAGCACCCTGCGCAGGTCGAGGAAGGCGTCCGAGGTGCAGTTGAAGAGGTCGGGCTCCTGCCAGCCGCCCATGGCGTCGTCGCACACACGGCTGGCCTTGCCGTGCGAGTGGCCGGGGCAGGACTCGATGACCGTCATGCCGAACTTGGTGCGCTCCCACCACATGCCGGCGGCGAAGCTGCGCGGGCAGCCGTCGTACACCACCTCGCAGCCCCGCAACGTCACCTCGGCGTAGGGGTTGGGGCAGGCGTGGCAGGTGCGCCCGATGACGCCGGCCCGGCAGCGGCACTGCCCCGTGGCCGCGTCGCACTGGCTGCTGTACGAGCCCACGGCGTAGCACGCGCAGTCCAGGCAGCGGTCCGAGCCGTCGGGCTGGTAGTGGTTCTCGCGGCACACGCACTCGCCCGTCGTCTTGTTGCAGTCGGGGTTGTATCCGCGGTCCACGGGGCAGTTGCACGGCCCGCACACCGGGTAGCCCCACCAGCTGGTCGGGCACGGCTGGTCCACCTTCACCTCGCAGTACTCGCCGGAGAACTCGGTGGAGTTGCAGCCGCACGTGTAGGCGCGCGGGTGGTCCGCGGTGTTGGCGGTGGGCGTGCAGCGGCCGCCGTGCTCGCAGGGGTTGAGGGAGCAGGTGGGCGCGCAGGCCGAGCCCACGTAGCCCGCGTTGCAGGTGCACGCCGCGCGCTCCCAGTGCGCCTCGCAGCGGCTGTGCGGCGGCGACGCGGCCGCGCTGGGGCAGTGGTCCGTGGCCAGCGGCCCCGCGCACGCGTCGCCAGTGCCGCAGCCCTCGCCGACGTTCTCCTTGACGTTGGGCCGCTGCAGGGCGGACTGCGGGGTGCCGATGCGCACGTCCTGCACGCAGCCGTCGAGCCTGGGGAGGGCGCTGGCCTCGCTGGCGGGGGTCTCCGCGTCCGGGCCGCCGATGAGGATCTTGCCGACGTACAGCCCCTGCACCTTGGCCGGCAGCGCGCCGACCACGCTCCGCTGGCCGTGGTCCAGGCCCAGCCACACCTCGCCGGGCAGCCAGCGCACGTCGACGCGGTGCCACTCGCCGTCCGCCACGCCGCCGTGCAGCGCCACGCGGTCGCCGTGGTACGAGTACACCAGCGCGCCGCCCTCCAGCGACAGCCGCGCCGTGCTGTTCTGCCCGATCTGGATGCTGACGAGGAAGGCGTCCTTCTGCAGCGTGCGCAGCGACAGCGAGTTGAGCCAGGGCAGCTGGATGGGCCGCAGCAGCGGGTTGAAGGACAGCACGCCGTCGCCGCGGAACCGCCAGGCGGGCTTGATGGGCTCGCTGCAGTCCTTGGAGCCCCACTTCTCGTCGCAGTCGCACACGAAGGTGCCCCAGCCCTCCTTGCAGCGGCCGCCGTTCTTGCAGGGGCTGGACGCGCAGTGCGCGCGCTTCTCCGGGCAGCCCGCCACCGTCCCGTTGTCCGCCACGAAGCCGTTGAGGTCCACGAAGGCGTGGTCCACGTGCAGGTCCGCGATGCAGCCCGTGAAGTCCTTGGAGCGCACCTGGAAGTCGGTGGTGGGCAGCGCGGGCAGCCCGCCGACCTGCAGCGGGCCCGTCAGGTCCAGGAAGCGGTGGCACGTCTCGGTGGGCTGGTCGCAGCGCGGCTCCAGGACCTGCTCGGTGCGGTTGGCGCACGCCCACGCGCCGCCCAGGTCCCTGCCGTGCTTGATGGCCAGCATGGTGTCGCAGTCGTCCACCGAGAGCGTGGCCGTCTTGTTGTGGTACGTGATGGTGACCGAGTGCCAGCGGCCGTCGCTCACGCCGCCCGGCCCCGGCACCGCCACCGAGGTGCGCGTCACGCCGTCGCCCAGCGAGAAGGAGAAGTGCAGCTCGCCGGCCACCACCTCCAGGGCGATGAAGTCGTGGCGCTCGTTGTACCTGGGAACGGAAAGGAAAGGTTGGCGTCAGTCGGCCGCGGGGCACAATCGCAAGCAAAGCGGTTCCGCGCTGCTCCACTCACCGTCCGTTGTAGAGCAGCAGGCCGTCGGGCTGCAGCGTGGCGAAGCGCAGCCTGACGTGCAGGCGGTGGCGCTGCCGCAGCGCGGGGAACGTGAGGAAGGCCGAGCGCGTGAAGGAGCGCGCCGTCAGCTCGCACTGCTCCGTCCGCCAGTCCGTCGGCAGGGTGCACTTCTCGCAGACGAAGCCGCCGCGGATGAGGGGCGCGCACACTGACGGCGGCCGGCACAGCCCCGGGGAGCAGCCGCCGCCGCCGCCGCTCGCCAGCGCCGTCTCGCAGTGCACGCCCGTGAAGCCGGCCGGGCACACGCACGTGTAGCCGCCCTCGCGGCGCACGCACGCGCCCTCGTTCTGGCACGGGTTGGAGTAGCACAGGTTGACCTCGCGGTCGCACAGGTAGTGCTCGCGGCTGCCGGTGAAGCCCGTCGGGCAGCGGCACGCGAACGTCGTCACGGGGTAGATGGGCCGGAACAGCACCGTGTCGCTGGCGATGAAGCCGGACGCGTTGCCGAACTTGAGCACCGTCAGGCACTCCTCGTAGTTGAGGCACGGCTCGCGCACGCACAGGTTGTCGTCGAAGGGGAGCACCTTGACCGTGGCGAGGCGCGCGAGGATGGCGCGGTTCAGGTAGACGCGCTCCTGGACAACGAGAGGCGACGTGCATTATCATGTAATGACAGTGTAGTGACAAGAAAAATTTGGGGGTGTCATACCTGCAGGAACTGTGGGGTGTAGTACTCCTCGCCGCCCACGTCGGGGCGACGCGCGCTGAAGCTCACGTTGAGGATCTTGGCGTTGACGTCCGTGTCGTCCTGCACGCTGAAGAGGAACACGTTCTCCTTGGGGCAGGGGATGATGGCGGCCAGGCCCTCCACGAAGAAGGACAGCAGCGGCGACAGGAAGGCCTCCTCGGTCATGTCCTCGAGCCGCACCGTGATGGAGTTGAAGAGCATCTCCTCCGTGATGAGCCGCACCTGCAGCTGCATCACGGCCTTGACCTCGTTGACGCCGTCCGAGACGGACACCTCCATGGAGGCCAGCTTGGGCACGTTGGTGTTGAGCAGCGGCGACAGCGTCAGGTGGCCGGTGCTCTCGTTCAAGTGCACCAGGTTGGCGTTGTTGCCGCTCAGGATGCGGAAGCGCAGCTGGTCCGACACGTCGGCGTCGACGGCCGGGATGCGGCCCACGGCGCCCGACGGGAAGCAGTCCCTGAAGTTGTTGAAGACGACCTGGAAGTCCTTGAGCCGCGGCGCGTTGTCGTTGACGTCGGTCACCATCACGTCGACGTGCACGTCCGTGCGCAGGGGCGGCGACGCGGCGCGCACCACCAGCTCGAACTTCTTCCTGGGCGACTCGTAGTCCAGCTCCACCATGGTGATGAGCGCCGCCTTGGCCGAGCCCGGCTTGGTGACGAGGGAGAAGCTGGCCGAGTCGTCGCCGCCGATGATGGAGTACTGCACCTGCGCGTTGACGCCCTCGTCCGGGTCCTTGGCGTAGATCTCGCCCACCGTGGAGCCCACGGGCGAGTTCTCCGCCACGTACATGATGAGCTTGTCCGACTCGAAGGCGGGCGGGTTGTCGTTGATGTCCTCCACCTTGATGGTGACGATGACGGAGCTGGAGAGCGCGGGCGAGCCCCTGTCGATGGCCAGCGCCTCGAGCTGGTACACTGCCACGCTCTCGCGGTCCAGCATGCGGTTGGTGCGGATCACGCCCGAGGTGGGGTCCATGACGAAGGGCTCGTCCGTGCCCGCGCCGCTCGGGTTGAGCGCGTACCGGATCCTGCCGTTGAGCCCGGTGTCGTCGTCCGTGGCGGTCACCTGCGGAAGGACAAGCAAGCGTCAGCTAATTGCAGGGGTAATTGCAGGGCCTAACGAATCGTGAGGGAAAGGCGGGGCTTTTTGCTGGACTTTTTACAGGGAATCGAATTAGACGTTGTTTACTTACCTGCGCCACGCTGGTGCCGATCAGGGCGTCCTCCGCCACGCTGCCCGCGTACGCCGGCTGCTTGAAGGCCGGCGCGTTGTCGTTCACGTCGGCCACCATGATCTCCACGTCGGTGGTGTCTGACAGCGGGGGCGCGCCGCCGTCGCGCGCCGTGACGGTGAGCAGGTAGCCGGAGACGGTCTCCCTGTCCAGGGGCTTGGCGGTGATGACGGCGCCGGTCTGCGGGTTGATGGTGAACTCGGGGCTCTCCTTGTCGCCGCCCAGCGAGTACGTGATCTGCGCGTTCTGGCCGACGTCGCCGTCCGTGGCGCCCACCACGAGCACCGTGGTGCCGACGGGCGCGTCCTCGAACACGGACGCCGAGTAGGGCGCGTTCTCGAAGATGGGGGCGTAGTTGTTGGCGTCCGAGATGTTGACGTAGACGGTGGCGGTGTCGTGGCGGCCGCCCGAGTCGGAGGCTGTCACCTCGAGCACGAAGCGCTTCTCCTGCTTGTAGTCCAGGGGCTGCGCCACGGTGATGAGGCCGCGCCCGTTCTGCGTCGTGATGGCGAAGCGGCCGCGCAGGTTGCCCGCCGTCAGCTCGTAGTGCAGCCGGGGGTTCTCGTCGCGGTCCGTAGCGGTCACACTGGCCACCGGCGTGCCGGGCTGGTCGTCCTCCGCCACCACGGCGTTGTACTCGCGCGGGTTGAACACGGGGTCGTTGTCGTTGACGTCCTGGACCGTCACCACCACGCTGGCCGTGGCGCTGCGCGGAGGGGAGCCCCCGTCAGCGGCCAGCACCACGAACTGGTACTTGCTCTGCTCCTCGCGGTCCAGCTCGCGCGTCGTGTAGATCCAGCCACTGTTCTCGTCCACGGCGACGGGCAGCTCCTCCGTGGAGCCGCCGCCCGAGTCCCTGGGGCCGATGCTGTAGTGGATGGCGGCGTTGTCGCCCTCGTCCGCGTCGTACGCCTGCACGCGCACGATGCTGTACCCGGTGGGCACGCTCTCCAGCACCGACTCTTGGAACAGCGAGGTGTAGAACCTCGGCACGTTGTCGTTGACGTCCTTGACGTTCACCAGGAGCTGCGTCGTGTTGGAGCGGCTGGGGCTGCCGCCGTCCTGCGCGCGGATCACCAGGCGGTAGTTCTTGATGACCTCGTAGTCCAGCGGCTTGACCAGCGTCACCTCCCCCGACATGGTGTCGATGGCGAACTGGCTCTGCGTGTTGCCGCCGATGATGGCGTAGCGGATGGCCGCGTTCGGGCCCTCGTCGGCGTCGGTGGCCCTGCGGGAGCAACATGCATTAGTCCAGGGCGTCATTTAAAAATTGTCATATTTTAGCGGGCGAAACAAACACTTACTTGACGTGGGCGATGACGGGGTTGCTGCTCCAGGCGACGTCCTCGGGCACGGTCACGGAGTAGGAGCGCTCCGTGAACTGGGGGTAGTTGTCGTTGTCGTCGAGCACGGTGACGAGCACGGTGGCGGAGCTGGAGCGGCGGTCGGCCAGGGGCACGGCCATGTCGGTGGCCACCACGACGAGCGAGTAGCGCTGCGTCTTCTCGCGGTCCAGCGGCGCGCGCGTCGACACCGTGCCGGACTTGGGCTCGATGCGGAAGGTCTCGGGCGCGCCGGCCTCACTGGGCTGCTCGCTCTGGATGGAGTACTCCACCTCGGCGTTGCGGTCGATGTCCTGGTCGGCGGCCTTGAGCGTCACCACGGTGGAGCCCACCGGCACGGACTCGCGGATCGACGCCTCGTACTCGGGCATCTCGAACACGGGCGAGTGGTCGTTGGCGTCCAGGACGTTGATCTGCAGCGTGGTGGTGCCGGAGCGCGGCGGGAACGAGTCGTCCACGGCGGTGACGCGGAAGTAGTGCACGTCCACCAGCTCGCGGTCCAGGCGCGTGGCCGTCGTCACCACGCCCGTCTTGGCGTCGATGCCGAACATGCCCTGCGAGCGCGCGTCCAGCAGCGACGTCATGGAGTACTGGATGGGCGAGTTCTCCGGGTCGCGCGCCTTGACGGCCGCCACGATGGCGCCCTCGGGCCGCTCCTCCATCACGGACGCCAGGTACAGCGCCTGCTCGAAGTACGGCGACATGTTGCGCAGCTCGCGCCGCACGCGGTGCGCGATGTCCGAGTCGTTGAACTTCTGGTGGTGGAACACGATCTGCGGGGAAAGCGGTACGGTAATTAGAGCAACTCAATTGGCAGGGGAATGAATGGTAAAAATAAGCTATTTGAGGTGCAAAAATATTAAATGCCAGTTTTTCTTCTGTGTGCTTAAACCCGAACTGCATTCCACTCCACAGAGTCCCGCGTCCGGCCTGCGGCCGGGGGGTCGCGGGTTCAAGTACTCGACCTTCCGGACGTCATTTTTTGCCCTTCCAGGAAAGTGCGCCGGCAGCGGTGCGCGCATGGCCGCATGGCGCTTGAATTAATGCCTTACGAAAGGTGAAAGGTGTTGGCCTACCTTGAGGCGGTGCTCCGTGGCCGAGATGAGGCCGCTGCCGCCAAGCTGGGGCCGCGGCCAGCTGTGCTCGCCCAGGCTGGTGTTGCAGATGAGCTCCAAGTGCACCGTCACCTTCCACAGCGGCTCCGTCAGGCAGACGCTCTCCGCCGCCACCAGGTCCCCCGCCTCGAACTCCATCTTGAAGCGCGGGTCGGAGACGTCCACGTAGCGGACGTCGCAATTTTGCACCTGCGAATAGGGAACGGGATGATTAAACGACAGTTGGATGGCCTGCGAACAGGGCGAGGGCGCACCTCGGGGCGAACGCGCTGACGACGTCGTGCTGCTGGGGCTGCGCCGGGGCTGCGCCGGCCACCCATCGGCAGCCATCGGCCGCCCGGCCGGGCCCACGCCCATCGTTTCCTCGACGTTTAAACGCTCGTCAGCGAGGTGTCAGGGCGGTTCGGGGCCGGGGCCGAGGCCGGTCGAGGCGCGAAGCAACGTGAGGCCGACGATGACTATCATCTTTTAGAGCGTGGACGCCGCGGTCCGCGCCGTGCCGTCCGGGCCTTTATCCGTGAGCACGTAGAGCCCTGGCCGTCGGCTGGGGCCCCAGTGCGTGAGTACAGGTGCGTGTCAAGTAATTTAGCGGTTGAGGGGCCTCGAGAAATTCTGCCGCGGCGATGGCCGATGGCTTGGCCGGGTCGCTGGGTGCGAGGCGCGCTAGGAATCCTGGCCATCGGACGCCGTGCCCAATGACCGCCACCCTGGCGATACCCCGCGCGAAAGCCCGGGGTTTCAAATAACGCACGGGGTATCGAACGTTCCTGCTTTTCTTTCTGTCTTTCCGCGGCGGACGCGGCGAGAAAAATGGTCAAATGTTTTTACCGTTGGCAATCACGCGAGGCCGGGCTGTCCGAGGTGCACGACGGCGTCCCGACGGCACGGCCATTCGTCTCCCGGACACCTAATCCAACCGACGCTCGAAACAAGAGAAATAATGGATTTCCTTTTTCGATTAAATGCCGCGTCGCGTTGCCGGTGATGGTGATGGCACGCCGGCACGGCACGTCGCGCGGACATTTTTCGTGAAGCTCCCGCTTCATTTTTTTCTCCCGGCGAAACAGAAACAGTATCCGCGGGTCGTGAAATCCGGGGGAACTTTCTAAGCCGGCCCACGCCGGGCGGGGCGGGCAGTGGCGTGGCGGGCCGGGACTGCATGGCCCGCTGCATGGCCCGGCCTGGCCTCAAATTAAATGAATTCCCTTCGCGCAATGCCTCAACTGATTGGCTGCTTTGCCTGGCGCTGGCCTCTGATTGGTCACGACCACGACGCGCGGAGCGCAGCGCGCAGCCTCACGCCGCGCTCCGCGGCTCCGCCAAGAACAACAACGAGTGCCTTGCCTGGCCCTGCCTGGCCCGGCCCGGCCCAGCCCCGCGGCCGCGGCGCCGCTCTAGACCAGCCCGCCCAGCTTTCAGCCGCCTTCGTCGGGCCGGGCAAGGCAGGCAGCAGACACAGCCGTCGGCACGGAGATCTAAACGCAGCGGCGCCACTCGCACGCAGTCAATCCACGCCAAGGAGGAGGGAAAAAAATGAACCGACCAAAAAAGTCGAGTCATTTCGGCATTTTGATGTGACGGACTGCCATTTGACTATTTTGCGGCCTCGTGTGTTCGCAGGGCCGCGGCGACATCTATCCGCTCCCTGTCCTCGCGGTCCCGGGTTCGAGTCCCGATCACCCCAGGACGTCGTGAAAAGCCTCGGCGGGGAGATGGTTTTAGACGAGCGTCGGGTGTGGAGTGCAAAACGCGGAATGGGTCCCCCGCGACTCTTGCGGCGCTACGCGCTTCGCCTCCATGAAGGCCGTGAAGGTCCCGGGCTGGTGGCAGCGACGTTTCGCGGGCGACGCGAGGCGTGCATAAGTAATAGTGCACGTCGCAACGGCCGGCCCGGCCCATTTGGCGGCCTTTAAAGTGCTTGCAGTGTAGCTGCGTAGCGCCGCCGCGGTGGCGGTGCGTGGTGGCGGTGGCGCGCGGTGCCGGCGCACCCCTCCCCTCGGCCGGCACCCCGCTATGACTCATGCACTGCTGGGGTGTGAGCGCTCGGCCTCCCCTTCCACCCCCGGCAGCAGGCCGATTCCGAGAAGCGTACTCGTCGCTCTCGCACTCACGGGGCGTCCCGCGTGGGTGCGAGAGAGACGGAGCGCCTCTCGGAAGCAGCCTGCGGGGCGGCACGGCGACGGCCGTCTCCGAAGCGGCCCCGCATCCCGACTGGAGCGCCGGGCGGGCCGGGCGCGTGCTCGCAGTGCAGTGGCGGCGTCGACGTCCCCGAGGGTGCCGTCGACGAACGCAGTTCCGGGGTGGGGTAGGATGCCGGCCGCGCCGGCCGCGCCGGCCGCGCCGCCCGCGCCTCGCCGGGGTGATGTCATGATGCCCTACTACACACCATGCACCCGATCCGCTGCCGGCGCTGTCTCCCTCACACCCCTGTCGGACGCCGGGACCAGCCGGGACGCCCCGCGAGTGCGAGAGAGACAGCGCGACGCTGGCTACCATTCCCTACCGCCGCCCCGCCCCTCGACGGCGTCCTCTCCTCTCTCCGGCGCCGCACCGCACCGCGCTTCCAAATCGAGGCGCATGAATATAATCGTCTGTCCGATCACTCAATGCCGGCTTGGCGCGGAGCACTGCGCCCTCCTGCGCCCCTCGTCGGCGAGGTGGACAGGCAGAGACAGACGGCCGGGGTTTCCGGCGGCGGGGCCCTTGGAGTTCCGAGTTTGCTTTGGACGCGGCGAAACTCGGCGTCGGATCGAACCACGCGGCCCTGTGCGTTGCTTGGAGATCGAGGTAGGCAACCCCCGCCGGCTCCCGACAGAGGCGCTCGCCGGGCTGCCTATCCAGGAACCGCAGGCGCGCGAGCGGCGGCGGTACAAGTCACTTTGTGGCGAAGAAGGCCGTCACCGCGACAGCGAATCGGACCACCGGGACGGCCGGGACGTCGCCAGGCTCATCCCGCGAGTCCCTAATTCGCAGATGACTCCCCGGGGACGACGCGCCAGACACTCGGAAGAAAGGCCAGCAAGACCGGCACGCCGCCGCCGCCGTCCTGGCTGTCTTGGAGCTCATCTCGTAATCTGTCGGGAGGCACCGCGGTCGTTACACTGTTCCACCCAGCGCTGATACGGCGACAAATTAGTCCGAGTCGGGTAGTTGCAGCGGCGGCAGGGCAATGGAGCAAAAACGCGAAACAGCAAAGGCGGGCCGGAAAAAATAATGAAAATGTTGGTGGGAATTTGGCGTCCGCGCACGCCGAGGAGCCCGAGGAGGGCAACGTCCTGCCTAAGTGCATAAAAACACAAAGAACAAAGGACGGCGGCATCGCCGGGGCGGCGCGGCGCGGCGGACCCCCGCTACGACATCACCGCCGTGCCGACGCCGTGCCGACGCCGCCACTACGGGGCTCTCCTGACTTCGGCGCCGCCGTCGCTACGCGCGTAATTTGAAATGTTGGCTCCGCAAACGCGAAAACTTTGGCAGCCAGATGCCAGACTCCGCGCCCCGCCAAGCCCCGCTTGTTTGTGTGTGGGCGCCAACAGTTTGATCACAGAGACAACACGGTGCCGGTGTGGAGGGGGGGGGGGCACGCGCCAATAAATCCAAGCGGCATAAAAGCGGCAGCCAATCGGGTGCCGAGGCGAGGAGAGTACAGTCCCCCGCAAAAGGGGTCCCGCCGAAGAACATGAAAGTACGACCGAAGCATAGTACGTCTTTCCGACAGTGTAGGTGCGCGGTGCGCGGGTCTCCAGCAGCGTCGTGAAAAGAACAAAAATAAAAATAGCACGCCGTCTCGGGGGGACTTGGTTCATTAATCCAGACCGCTGACTGTGGCATTTTTTTTCGGCCGCCGTCCTTCTACGTCCTTCCTATCGGCTCAGCACTATTTCTCCCAGTACACAACGGTACCGTGCAGTGCCTGTGGCAGTGCCGTGCCATTGTTGCCCCCGAAGGGCTCGCCGGGCTCGCCACCCGCACAAGACTGAGGGCAACCCGAGGGCCCCGCCAGTGCTCCGAAGATAAGCCCCGAGAAAGGGTGAGGGCATGAAAAGGGAAGGGGGGACGTGTTAACCAAACCAGCCCTTCGCACCCTAGGGCCTAGGGCGGCCTAGGGCCTACACGGCCCGCTCCAAAGCCCTTCTTTCATCGCGTGCATGTTGGTAGGCCCGGGCCGGGCCTCGGCCGGGTCGAGCGAGAGCTTTGCTGCGCAATGCCGCGCTGCCCCGCGGCTAGGCTCAGGCCGACCAACACCTCCGAGAGGAAACAGGGTTTTCCGACCGCTTGAGAACCCGGACCCAATTAGCACCTCGTGGGTGCCTCTCTGTCCCTCTCTCTGTGCCCCGGGTTCAACTCCCCGCCCCGGCGGTGTACACCGCAAGCCCGCCGGACTTTGGGCCAGGCCGCTAATTTTGAGAAGGGATCGGGTAAAGCCGGGTATACAGCCTGCTACAACAAGTCCAACACGCACGCCAAAGTTCAGCGAGCGAATTTGTAGAGAAATAATTCTGCCAAACGTACACCTGTCTCTGCGTTCCCCCTTCCCCTCCCCGTGTGATCTACACGAACAAAACAGAAAAAAAACAACACACAAAAAAAAAAACGGCGAAGCATTATGTTGAGCTTGTGAAGCAAAATTCCGTTTTGTTTTCCCTCCCCCACACGGACTGCCCTTGCGACAGCTTCCTCCGCTCCGCAGCGTGGAAAATAATAAACCGGGAAGCCGGCGGCGTGGCGGCGGCAGGTCTCACGGAAAACTTTTTTTTTTTTCATTTCCTTTTTTTTTGCAAATGCGCGGCCGTGTCTGAACCGCAGCCAACGCTGCAGAGTGCTAAAAAGGCGAAACACTTCCCCCGCAGGTCTAACGCCCTCTCGCCGCCCCCGACGAGCCGCTCCGCCGCCCCCGGGAGGAGGCCGTGTACGCCGTGTACGCCACGACCATCCCGGCCTCCCCTCCAGGCTGTTTGGACGACGGCACGCCCGCAGGGGTGCGGTGGTGGGGCGGGGCGGGGCGGGGCTGCGTCCGAGGGCGTTCCGAAGGCGTTCCCTCCCTCTCGGCACGCGGCGTTTTAGGTAAATGAAGAAGCCGTGGCGTTCCGGGCGCGTCCGAGGCGGGGTGGGGCGGGGTGGGGGGTGGGGCAGGCGTGCGCCCACCTGGCTGAGTCACACACACCCTCGACGGCCCCTCGGCCCCAGGTCCAAGGCGCCAGCCCCGCCATCGCCTCCACTGCACCGGGGAGGCGCCCTACACCCTAAAATGCTCCGCGCCCCGCACCAAGGAAAAGCCAAGCGCCCCGCCGCGCCGCGCCAACCAAAGCGACGCCCCTCCGTTTTCGTTTTTCATTCCGGCCGCGGGAAATGGGAAATCGCGGCGACGGCTGGTTCTAATCCGCAGTTATTGCTTTTTTTTTCTCGCTCGCGTTGGGGCGGACGACACGGCGCCACCTGTTTAATAATCGGTCTGAATTCAGGCTCATTCCGCGCGGGCGTCTCATCGCTCTGTCTCTCTCGCACTCTTGGGGTGTTCCGCAGGGGTGCGAGAGAGACAGAGACAGAACATTCGGCATGGAGGACGACGTCCATCCGCCAGCGCAGCGCCGCGGGCAAAAAAGGAGCCGGCCGTCGCGGCTTCTCCGTCTCTCTCGCACTCACGGGCCGCGTCGGCGTCCCGCTGGGTGCGAGAGAGACGGAGCGACGGACGGCCCGGGCCCAGACCGCGGACCGCGTCCCGAAACCGAGCCGCTGCGGTCGCGGCGTCTGCGTCTTCCCTCATGTCGTCCATATCGGTCCGCGATGAGTTACGGTGTAGCGCCGCCGCATGGCCGTGGAGAAGGGGCGGGGCTACCGCACCACTAGAAAGTAGCCGCCGGATCGCCTACAACACCGCTCGACGAAAACTTCAACTTGGGTGCCTCTATCTCTTGAACGGTGAGTGCTAGAAAGGCCTCACGTGGGGCGTCTTGGCTGTTCAATTCGATTTTCTAGTTTCGCTGTCTTGAGATCAACACTCGTAAAAATTGGATTTGTCGTGAGATGACCGATTGGTTGGTCGCGGTGACCGCGTGGACCGGACACCTTTCCGAAACGCAATTACGAGTTTCTCCTTTTGAAAAGAAGTGACACCGCGGCGTGTCCAGCGTGATAGCATCGCATGGCCTGGCCGTCCACTCGTTCTCGTGAGAGTGGCGGTGCGGCGGCGCGCATCTCATTGGGAATGATAATCAAGGAATGCTCTACTCACCACGGTGCTGGGCAGCAGGTTGCGGATGCGACACACGAGCTGGCTCTGGCGCAGGCAGATGCGAGTCCAGTCGGCGGCCTCGGCGCTGGGGATGGCGTAGGACGCCAGTGTCTCGCTCACCCAGCGCTTGGCCTCGGACACCTTGACGTGCACCCGGTTGAGCGCCACGTCGGCCTCCTCGGCCTCGTCGGCGAGGTCGATGCTGACGAGCGGGTCGCGCTCGCAGCGCCGGCCCGACACGAAGACGCGCAGCGGCAGCGAGTAGTAGTCCACGGGGTCGGCGACGGCCACCGAGTCCACGTGCAGCGTGAAGAGGTTCGGGTAGTACACGGCCGTGCAGTCCAGGAAGTTGCGCAGGCTGATGCTGCCCGAGGCCGCGTCCACGCGCAGCAGGCGGTGCACGAAGGACGCGCTGCGGTGGTTGTTGATGGTGTAGGTGCGCTGGCCGCGGCCGCCCAGCGACGCGTTGAACAGCACATGGCCGGGCGGGTCGTCCTCGGTGGCGATCAGCAAGTAGGCGGCCGAGAGGCGGCAGGCCAGCAGCACGGCCGCGAAGGCCAGCCACGCCCTCATGCTGGCCGGCCCCTGCTGGAAAGACGACAACGGTAAGGCCGCGGACGGGCAGGCCTCGGCCACCGAGCCCCGCCGGCCCGCCAGCGAGGGGGATGTTTTGGGTGAAAAAGCGTCGGACACTCTGACCCTGCCTTGGCTGGCTTCACAGCCCTCCACCCTTCCCCGCCACGTCGTGCCACGTCACTGTATTTATGGGCTCGCCGTCAAGCCGTGCAGTTTGACTGACCGCGGCGCTTGATCCGCACGCACTCTCCACGCTCTCGCCGGAATTTGTACTTGTTCCCCCGCCGCTCCGCCGCTCCGCCGCTCCGCCGGGCTTGGCCATCCGTCTGACGGACAGCCCGCCCGGGACGCTCCTCGGCAGCCTCGGCAGCCTCGGCCACGACGAGGCACTTGACGTCGCGGAAAGCAAGCAGCAGCACGGCGGCCGCGGCGCCGGGAGGCCATTTTTTGCCCTTATCCGGCGCAGCAGTAGATTGTGCGGCTCTTTCGGAATTACGATGACACTTTCGCATGTTTCACTGTCAGCCCGGCAGAGCAGCAGAGCAGCAGGCGGACGCCTCGGTGGAGTAGGCGGCGGTGGAGCGCACGGGGGTGGATCAAGTTGCGGGGCGGGGCGGGGCGGGGTGGGTGGTGTCGGGCGGGGCGGCTTCGAGCGTGCTGCACTACACTGCAGGCGAGCGAGCATTTGCAAAAGTTCACACAGGCTGTGTGCCGCTTCCGTTGCGTGCGAGTGCGCCCCCCCCCCCCACTTCCCCCCTTTTTCCAACCCCGTTCGTTCCTCGCGCGAGTCCCCGCCCAACAATAATGACTCTAGAAAAGAAGGCGGCGGCAGTGCATTGTGGGGCCGGCCGGCGAGCCGCGGCAATAGCGTGATTGGAACACGCGGAAGACACGTTCGGCGTGGGACACACACTCACACACACACACACACACACACACACAAACACACACCGCCGCGGGGCGAGCACAATAATAATGTTTTCTTTTTTTTGCCGTCCTTTTTGCTGTACTTTCTTGCCGCAGTTTGGCGTGTGCAGAAGCAGAGAAAGACACGGCGCACTTTTGTTCGGCCAGCACTGCGCTGAAAAATGATGTGCCCCGCAACGACGTTTTGACTAGCTGGGAAAAAAAGTATAACATTTAAAAAAAAAACATGACAGCATTTTGTTTCTTGGCCTGAACAATTTCCAGCCTGTCTAACTCGAGGTCTAACTGGCCTTGCGGCTGTGCTGTGCGCTTTTGGTCCCCCGTTTCTGGGCGAGTGTGCGCCGGACTTGATGTCCAAGGGGTTTTGTTTCAAGAGAGCAAGTTACTCTGGTTTTTGCTGCCGGTGGGGGGAGGGGGAGGGAGAGGGGGCGCTGTCCAGGACGGGAGTGGCTGGAGGGACCTACTCCTTTGGAACGGGACCGGCGAGTAAGGAGCCACACAGTAAAATGGTCGGGTGATAAAGTTGTCACCTCGCCAGAAAAACAATTCCAGGTCGCGCGCCGCTGATCCGGCGGATTCCTTCGGGGACTATGGGAGCGAAACAAGTTTGGCAGGGCGGATTTCGGTGTCGGGTTTCTTCCCCCAGACGAAATTAAGTGAAGTGAGCCGTCTCTCGGGACTTTCCTGTCGATCGCAGGGAGCTCAGAGGCTTCCGAGTCCAAACCTGCATGTGTCGATTTAGTCAGAACGACATTAAAATGGAAATATTCTATGGAAACCGATCATATTAATTTGTTTTGACAGAGTAATTTATCTCAATCGCATTCTACAGCACATGCCTTTAGCCTGGGACGCAGCGTCTAGAGTGACTGCGAAATAACACGAGGTTTCTAGCTCACGTCTTCGAGTCGAATGAGACCACGGCTATTAGTTTCATCCTGTACAGCCAGAGCAGCTCAGAGGTCCCAAGCGCCCGCAAAGGGTCCGGACGCGTTTTGAGCTCCAGAGTCGCTAAATGGGACTCGAACTGGACGTGTGACCCCACCAATGGATTGCTCTCGGAACGAGGAATCCATTGGAGGGGTCACATGCTCGGTTCGAGTCCTGTTTAGCGACTCTGGAGCTCAAAACGCATCAAGAGTTTTGGCCGCCTGCGCCGGTCTGACTGTCCGCCGCGCATGTAAAATGGAATGGAGCCACAGCAGTGCACCTAAATCCCGTCATTACTGCCAAGGGCTCTGAATGGGTAAACAAGGGGCCGGCGACGACAGGTCTCGCGGCGTTGTCACCCCAGCCGGCCCCTTATGAACTGGCGTCGACCCGAAACCCTCCTGGTGTGCTTAAAACTTTTAAGGTCAGTCCCGTGCCGCGCCGCGCTGCCGCGTGAGCGGAGTACAAAAGGAGCTGCTCGCATGAGTACACATATCGACCGAGGGGTGAGACGGCGGCCAGGGCAGGGCAGGGCAGGGCAGGGCAGGACGTGACGACGAAGGGATAAACTAAACCCGGCTCCCCAAGCCGCCGGGGCAGCACGGCAGCACGCCGGCGAGCGAACAGGTGGCGGTGGCGTCTCAGGAGGGGGGCCAGGGCCGGGGGCCAGGCCGCGCCGTGTGCCCGGGGCCCGAAACTAGACTGATTCCGAGTGCCGTCGCTCTGTCTCTCTCGAGCTCAAGGGGCGTCCCTGTAAGTGCGAGAGAGACGCAGCGACGAAAGCGACTCTCGGAGTGTCTGCTCAAGGGAAGCGCCTCAACAGGCCCACGCAACACCGCAGCGTTTTGACGGGCGAATAGTTTCCATTCTAATCGCACGCACACCGCTCGTGCCGTGCACTGGCTGGACTGTCCTTTTTATTTCCTTAGCGTGGAGCAGGACGGGAGGGGGGGGAGGGCAGGTAGACTGCAGGTAAGGCAATTAGTCTTGCAGGCTTGCAGGTGCGCCAGGCCGGCCGGGGCAGGTCGTCGGGGAGGGCCAGGAGGGCCAGGAGGGCCAGGACCTCGGCGAGGTGTCAGCGGGACTCGACTTGGGCCCCTCGGCGCGGCGGTCTCATGGCGCGGCCGGGACTGCGGACTGGCGTAGCCGCCGTAGCCGCGTAGCAGGTCAACGCTCGGCGCTGAGCCGCGCCGGCCGCGCCGGCAACCAGGTAGATAGGGGGGCAGGGGGGCGGGGCCGGGCGGCGGGGTCTTGGTGGCCGGAGGCAGATATTGAGGTGAGCCGGCGAGCTGCAGGATTCCGGCCGGTGCAGCGCTGCCACTCGCGCGCCGCGTTTCAAAATAATCCAAGCAGGCGATGCACTCGTAATCCACTGGGTATCCACTGGTAATCCAGGTCGGTGGCGACACAACAACAACAACAACAACATCACACACAGACACTCACACTGCACTTGTGACACTAGTGACCATGGTCGGGGCGCGCTCTTGGCGGCGCGCTGCCGTCGGCGCGCATCGAGGGGCGTAAGACTCTGAGAGGCGCGGTGGCGGCGCGGCGGGGCAGTGCGTTGCCGTGAACGCGGAGCGCAACGCGGAGCGCGGAGCGTCGCGGCGTGGAGGCGCGCTACACGCGGCGAGCGAACAGGCTGGCGAGCCGGCCGGGCGAGGACTGAGTATGAGAAAATCGATGCGGCAATGGAAGGGTCCTCGGCCGGGCTGGCTTTCCTCCGGAGCGTTAGCCGCCGAGCCGGAGCGGTGCGGAGCGGCGGCAGGGTGGGCCGTGGGCCAGCCAGCCGCCATGGCAGCGCGGCGCGGCGGCGAGGCGCGGGGAGGCGCGGGGAGCGGGGACGCCGTGCGGCTTCCTCCCCTCCCCCATCCCCAGGGACCCGCCGTCGGCCTGCCTGGCCCGCCGGAGCCGGGACCGGAGCCTTTAGAGCAGCCTGGCCGGGCCGCGGCGAGCCGGAGTCAATCCGCCTCCCCTCCCCTTTCCACCCACCCCTCGCGCCCCTCGCGCGTTGCCGGCGTCCTCGGGAAGGCGGCTCGGCGTCGGCACCGTCGGCTCCAAGGAAGGCTTGCGCCTGTGCCTGCTTCGCTTGCTCAAGAGCCCCGGCAGGGCCAGGCTTGCTAAGCCGCACGACGCTCTTCGCGACGCCGGCCTGACAGCCTTTGTTGGCACGCCCAGCCAGCGCTGCCAGCGCTGCCAGCGCCCGTCGTTCAAGTCTCCAGGTCGCTGGCGGCGGGGCGGGGCGGGGCGGGGCGGGCCGATGTGCTGCGGGGGCGACGCCGCCACACCGCCGTTCTCATGCCCGGCCGGCCGCCTCACCTGCAGCGAACCTTCGCCGTGCTTGGCAGCGCGGCGGCCCGTCAAAGCCTTCGCCATCGCTTTCACGTGTTCTAGGACGAGGGCGGGGCGGGGCGGGGCGGGGCGGGGCGGCGCCCTTCCCTCAAGCGCGATTCGCGAACGCCGCGTTGAACCGAAGCAGCCCAGCTCGTCCGTATTGGCGGCACGTTCGGGGCCTTTCCCTTTCGCTCGTCAAGTATTGGCATTGTGTGCTCGTGTGAATGTGGGGCTTTAGTCCCTAAAAAATGAATGATGCATGCGTTTCTATTTACTGCGTCCGAAACTCTGGTCCATCTGCAGTGTACCCGCGGCCGCGTTGGGCTTCCCCTGCGGCGAATATGACTGCCTCTAGAGTCCTGCAGCTTAACTAACGCTTCCTCGAAGTTGAAAGCGCGAGGCTCGAAGGGTGCTGCAAGCGCTGCAAGACCGCGCGGGGCTTCGCGAGACGGCTTCGTGAAATCGCGCGGCGCTGAGCGGCGCGCTGCAGAGCGGTGCCGGGCTGAACCAACCAACCCGACGGAAGGACTCGGACAACATTCCGTCCGCAACTCTGCAACTCGCGGCGCCGCGGAGCGCGAAGTGGACTCCGGGCCGCAATGCTGCCGACTAGCCCGGCGGAGTACTGGCAGAGCCGCATTACAAGGCAGTAACCAAGCAGCTCTAAACGCGCCTTTACGATGTAACGGTCTCCGGAACACCGGGAGCACCCCTTGCAGGCCCTGCAGTGCTAGTCAGCCAGTCCCTGCTGCAGCCGGCCATTCATAGACGATTCGTCTGACGGATGCTGGAGTCAGCCACCCGTCCCGCGGCCAAACGGCGAGGCGGCGCGGTGGAGCGCGCAATGGTTTCGCCTGACTCGCCGCTGACGCGCCGATTCGCTGACCGGCAACAGATTGGCCAGTTTACGGCCGCCGTTTGTGTCGCCTTGCTTCCCGGAACGGGCGCTGCCGCCCCGCCGCCCGGGGTGGCGTGCAATTAACAGTGCAGGGGCAGCCCGACGACGCCAAACACTGCCAATGTTTCCCCCATTTCCCGCCGGCCCGGCCCCACCGCCCCGCGTAACCCGATGACCGGATAGAGCAAATAGACGAGAATCAATGGCCGCTGCGAGCGAATTAGGGAAGGCACAGTGGGCCAGAAGACCGGCGCAGGCGGACAAAACTCTAGACGCGTTTTGAGCTCCAGAGTCGCTAAACAGGACTCGAACCGAGCGTGTGACCCCTCCAATGGATTCCTCGTGCGGAGAGCTATCCATTGGTGGGGTCACACGTTCGGTTCGAGTCCTGTTTAGCGTCCCTGGAGCTCAAAACGCGTCTAGAGTTTTGGCCGCCTGCGCCGGTCCTCTGGCCCACTGTGGACTGAGACTGCGGACTGCCGGGTCGTGCGGCGCGTTCCTTTCAATGGCCGCCGAAACGAGAGCAGCGGCACTCTGAGTCGTTTTCGTCGCTCTGTCTCTCTCGCACTCATAGGGCGTCCCGTATAGGTGCGAGAGAGACAGAGCGACGAGCTCTCGCAATCGGTCTGCAGAGCGGCAGAGCGCCGAGAAGGGCGTAAGTGTGCGGGCTGCGCTCGGAGTTGCGTCCTTCTCTTCCTTCTTCTTCTTCGGCGGTCCGATGTGATTGAGCCCTGCACTGCCACAGGCCGACACGGGTACTGGTTCGGCCTGCCGTCGTCGCTGTCTCTCTCGCACCTTGCCGGTCCGCCCCATGAGTGCGAGAAGGACAGAGCGACTGCCGGTGGCACGGGCCGGGCGTGCCTCCGCGCGCCTCGGCGTTCCTGCACGCCGCGCTGCCGCGTCGCGCTGCTCCACTGTCGCCGGTGCACCGTCACACCTTCCAGTGTATTGATTTTCCTTTCTTCTCGGACCGGCACGCGTCGTTTCTCGTTAGCCGAGCTCCGTTGGATCGGTTTTTGTAAGCGACTTCTTTAAAAAAAACGGATACGGCTGGTTAAGCGCGGGCTTAGTTATAGCGCCGGGAGTGCAACTTTAATTCAGTCAGTCCTACTTGGGGTTCATTTATAGCGCCTTGCAGGTACGTTAAGCACAACCTTCGGGCGGGTTAATCGACTGCAGGATGCGGGACGTATGCATGGGAACCGCTGGACGGAGGCGTTCGGAACACAAATGGTATGGCATGGTATTAGAGTGCATCAGTATGGTAGTGGCGGCATGTTGATTCGGCGCGGTGGCGTCGGCGGTACAGTTACATCGCCCCTTTGCTCCAGTCGGCTCCAGCGCGGCTCCAGTACTCCAGTATATCGTGTGGTGCTAAAAACCGCCACCGCGCGCACGACTCCAAGTGCCAAAGCCTGAACGTGCATAGCGGTGCCTAGCGGTGCATCGGGCACGCGGCTTGCAAGGCGCGCAAGGCGAGGCCGAGGTGAGAGCAAGGGCCTGGCATTGCTCGCTTGCACCTGTGGAGCAGTTGGACCGGACCAGCCGACCGGACTGCGGACCGGACCGGCTAGGCGCTCCGGAGGGAGGGAGACGTCCTGGCCGACCTGGCCGACCTGGCCCGCCGCCCACAACTCCAACCCTTTTACCTGGCGGCCGACGTCTGGCGTGGTCTGGCGCCGCGCGCGGTCGGCCCAGCCAGCGGCTGGAACATTTACAATTCCGCGAGAATTGGAGAGAGACGGAGAGAGGGGAGCCGTTGGCAACCCCTGCCCTCGCAGCGACCCTCGGACCCGAACTACCACCGGGCCGGAACTCTCTGGGGCGACTTGGGCGACAGTTCGCGGAGGGCGAGGCGAGGCGTGGCGTCCCGATCGGACGCAAGGCAGGACCAGGAGCAGGATGGATAACCCAGTGATCCCTGTAATGGAAGTTGTTTTTCCTGCCGTTAAGCACCGCCATGAAGTTCGCTCCCCCTGGGGCAGCGGAACGCGCCCCGAATTGGAAACAGGCGTTTTCAATCGGGCCCCGAGCCCGGTCGTCGTGTCCCCATGGCGTCACCGGCAGGCCGCGGCAACGACTTTGAACTTGCCGCCGACACGACGGGGTCCTCGAACCGCGTCGTCCCGGCCGGGCTGCCGAACTGGACCCGATTGGCCCGCCGGCCTGTCGTCCCCTCGCATCGTCATTAAGATGTAGACAAGCCTATGGGGCCCGGCCGGGTGCCCCCGCGTCCAGGACATCCAGGACCGAGCCGAGTGGAACGGATAGCCGGCCCGGCGGCCCGGCCCGACTAACCGGCTAGCAGGCCGAGAGCCAACACCGGCAGCGGACAGTCCCGGCCAAAAGCGGCGCAACTGCGTGCGCCGTGGACGCCACTTGCGGTGGTGTGGCCGTCGCGCCCGGAATGCTGTGCCCCGCCACGCCGAGGAGGGAGTGATCTAGCTAGGACGCCGGACGCCCCTCCCCCACCTGGCGGGGCCTGGCAAGCCCGGCCGGCAGGACGGAGGCAAAGGTAAAACAATCTCACGTTCTTTCTTCCTCTTTCCTCCAGCGGCTCGCCACGGCCCGGCTGCGTGGTCCCTGGCCTCCCTGGCTCGCTCTCAGGCGATGCAGGCCGGACGCGCCGGCCCAGCCTGCCCACCAGCCCGCCAGCCCCGCCAGCCCCAACGGCCGAACCACTGGAATAAATAAAGCGGAGGCCGAATCGCTGTCCACATTGCAACCGGCTGCGCCGCCGCAGACACGGACTCGGACACGGGGCGGGGCCAGGGCGGCGCAGATTACACGCACAGGAAAAAAGTCGTTTGGAATATTGGCGCCGCCGGCCCTTTCTGCGAATCTCCTGGACGCGGCCCGCGGCGACGTCGCCGTCTAGCCGCTCCGGTGCACAGTGGGCCAGAAGACCGGTGGAGGCGGACAAAAGTCTAGACGCGTTTTGAGCTCCAGAGTCGCTAAACAGGCCTCGAACCGAACGTGTGACCCCACCAATGGATTGCTCTCCGAACGAGGAATCCATTGGTGGGGTCACACGCTCGGTTCGAGTCCTGTTTAGCGACTCTGGAGCTCAATACGCGTCTTGAGTTTCGGCCGTCTCCACCGGTCTTCTGGCCCACTGTGCGGTGACTTCCGACTCCCGACGGCTGTTGACCTAGCCGGCCCGCCGGCCTTCCGGCTGAGCGGCCTGCTTACGAAGGTGTGAGCAGAGCCGAGCAGAGCGGCCCGATCGGGGTTGCCAGGCCTTCAATTTTCGTCTCACTTCCATCTCATTGCGCTCGAT